ATTCAAACTTTAATTCGTCAATTTTGGCCATTGCAATAACGGATTTGTGAGCTGGTGCATTGTCTTGATGAAACAACACTTTCTTCTTTACCAAATGTGGCCGTTTTGGTTTGATTTTATCGCTCAAACGTTGCAATAAGTTCGCATAATACTCGCCGTTGATAGTTTTACCTTTTTCAAAATAGTCAATGAAAATTATCCCACGCGCATCCCAAAAAACCTTGTCTGCAGATGAAACGGTCTTCGCCTTCTTTGGAGCCGGTTGTCCCTTTTGAGTCCATTGTTTTGATTGTTCTTTTGCCGCGGGTGTGAAGTGATGAACCCATGTCTCATCCATGGTTATGAAACGACGCAAAAATTCTGCTTTGTTGCTGTAAAACTTCGCTAAACACTCAATTGTAACTTCTTCACGACACCTTTTTGTGCTCGATTGTGAGCAATCGTGGCACCCATCTTGCACACAGCTTTCTCATGTCCAAATTTTCAGATAATATGCGATGAACCGCACTTTTTGAAATGCCTACTCGCGCACTTTCAGTCGACGATCATTCAGTACCGCTTTGTGAATTTTCTTCACCATTTCTGGAGTCGTCATCTCATTTGCTCGACCACTGCGATGCTCGTCTTGGCAGCTCATACGGCCTCGTTTAAACTCTGCTACCCAATATATTACTGTTGTAAACGAAGGAGCAGAAACACCCAGACTAGAATCCAGTTCAGCTTTTATATTGGTTGGGCTGAGGCCTTTGAAATAAAAGTACTATACCACATAACGATGAGCAATTTTCTCCATTTCCACAAATTCACTGAAAACGTTCAGTATGGATGGTTGCCAAACAACTATTAAACAATATGGCGTCTTCAAACTTGACACATATGCCTTATAGGTTGCATACTTTCTAATACAATGATATTTTTCAAACAACTATCGCCATCTCTAGGTCAGGCCGGGTACTTCTGCGACCACCCTCGTATGTGTATACGTCATCGTTTTTAAGGTGCTACTTTTCATTGAATATTCTTGTATCTTCATTTATTCTGCTATATTTGCCTTTTAAACTTGAATTTAGATAAGTTAAGTGCTTTATGTAGGGTTAAGTGGAAGATCAGTTATTCCTCCAGGAATGAAAGCTGAACTTCGCCTTTTCCGTGTGTCAAACAATTTCTTTGTACCATGATTATTATCATTATTAACTTCGCAAGATGTCGAAAAATTTTGAGAAGTTAAGAAGTTGTAGGTGTTCGCTATAACTCCGCCGTCACTGGACTTCAAAACTTATAAAGCTTTATCGACATTCTAATATCAAAATTTCATCAAAATCTGATGTGTTCTTTCTGAGCGGATAGAGAGGCCTGATTTTGCCGAACAAACGATGGATCACAACCTACTAAAAGACAAACAGACTACATAAATTGGGTTAAGATTATTTTCCTGGTACTGTACTGTCTGCGAAAATCATAAGTTCGCCATTTTTAGCCTTACGAACAAGATAAAAAATTACTTTGAAACAAACTTAGCTTAAAATACTATTCGGGGTCTTGTGGAGGAAGGCTTGGACTTGACTTAAGATATACTTAGAACCGTCACACACTCAATCGCTTAACGATAACGGTCCCCCATACAAGATAGTTGCTCCTGAATGATTCGAAAAACCCGAAAAAACGGGGTTTTCTCATATCATTGCGAGCAATGCGATGTTGTCATATTGTGGCATGCGAATATACAGGGTGACTTCGAAGTTGAGTCATTTATTTTAACAGTGAGTAGATCTGATCCTAAGAAATGTTTTTTTCCTTTACCATTCTTCTGGTAAAATTAAAGTAACAAAGTCTGTTGCGTGGCTCAAACGAAATCAAAAATGGCACATGTTTACGAAAATGCTGAACTTGTGGACATGATTCTTATTTACGCGACATCACGGATTTATGCGGATCGGTTTCCCAATCGAGTGCAACCAACCCCTCGTGCCTTTGTTAATGTAGTACAAAGGGCTCGTGAATCAGGTGACTTAAGACCTCACAGGGGAGGGCATGCCGGTGCTCCAAGACCGCACGATCAAATACAGGTCCGCACTGAAATACTTGTCGGGAGGATACTTTATAAAACAAGGTAACATTTTTTTTTTAATTTTTTTTTATTTTTACACACATATTTTGGTTTATCTTCCTTCTACAATCATTATCTGAAAATTAATGACTCAACTTCAAAGTATAAATGCATGGTAGGCTAACAAAATTCAAAACTTGCTGTTTCACTGTGAGTGTATCTCATAATGAAATTTGATACAATATTTGCCATACGCAGTAATATGTAATGTGACTTGTAGCTTTAAAAGAGAAGCTTTCCAACTCGATTTTTTTTCTAGATCACGTCTGTTACGCTTGGAACCTGAAGGTTGTCGACTGGTACCCGGATCAAATGTTTTTAAACATGTTTTCCAAATTTTCATTATAACATTTTTTTTGCTCTAAATTTTATGAGCTTTTCCGGGTCCGAACAAAAAGATGTTCTTAAAATTTCCCTAAAGTTGATCCAGTTCCAGTTTTAATCAACTAAGTGCTTGAAAAGGCCTAAAATTTGCATTTATAATACTTAAGAACTTTTGAGTGTATGACTGAAAGTTTATACCTTCCGCTATGCGAGCCCAAGAGTATTTTAGGCTTTTTTCATTTTAAAGCGATTTTTCAGAAGTTGACGTGGGTTGGCACCACAGATCCAGCCCCCTTGCCGCATTTAATGTTATTTTTCGTAAACGTAATTCATCATTACATATGGTTATTATATGAATTTGTAAAAACATACCTACGCGTATTTAATAATTTCCCGCTGTTTATATTCAGAAAGGTATTGGCACGGAAAAGCAAGCAAGAAGTAAAAATTGTCTCGGTGGATGAACACCAAGCAGTCAAAAATTAATGTTCTGGCACCGCATCAGATTATTATTAGTCAGCTATTATTCTCAAACTAACTACCGTGTTTTCCGCTTACATCTACATTTAAGCGGATTCATATTATAATATATTGATATGAATCAGGTCCATTTTCAGCACTCAGTACGTTACATCTCTCGAATGAGTTATACAGGGTCCGTCAGAAAGGACGCATGTTTTTCGAATCTGGGAGAAGTGCTGTTTCAGTTGGCAAGATAGTTTGGAATGTTGAGCATCGTGTGTTCACCGTACTTCGGTACTTTCAACGCAACGTGAGTTTCGCGTTCATCTTCGTGTTCCACGACGTGGGACGGTACCAGTCCGTAACATCATTTTGAGATGGGTGGAAGCATTCAACGCATTAGGTAATGTGATTAAGAAAAAACCACCAGGGCGAAAACGTAGACAGAGTGAGAGTTGACACGCTGCAAAGCCCGTTCGTTTGCGTGCCAGTTCCCTAAGGATCCACGCGTCCTCTGTACGTCGCATCTTGAGGAAGGATTTAGTGTTCCATCCTTACAAAATCCAACTTTGTCAACAACTGGCTAGGGGATTATGCACCACGTGTTAATTTTGCACAGCTCATGACTGAACAGTTGGATAACAATGACATGACGTTGTTTAAGAGTGATGAAGTACATTTTCATTTACATGGATACGTCAATAAACAAAATTGTCGATATTGGTCTCCAGTGAATCACCAACAGTTGCATGAGCACCCTCTGCATACCCCGAAAGTTATAGTTTGGCCCAACAATGATTATGGACCCTCGTCGATTTGAAGGAGGAAATAAGAAGAGAAGTAACCCAAATTCCTGCACGGATGCTGGACGAATGGGCCCATTTCGGGAGAGGCTTGATTGGGTGATCAAATTGTTCAAATATAATATTCTAGCGTTAAGGCGGGCTTACACGCTGCGCTGATTCTTATTGTACGTTTTGTCGGGCATACAAAACGTAAGCCTAAACGTATCTACGTTTTATCCAGCATATACACACTACGTGTGAGTTGTGTGAAGTTTGTTTAGTTAATTTTTTTGAGACATTTTTTTGATTATGAAGAAAACACGGCTGCTTTTTAATTTTTTCAACTATGAGGATACAACGACTGAGAAGAAAAGGGATGATAAGGGAAAATACGAGATCGTCAAGGGAGTGGCTTCTAAAAAGAAGCCAGTATTATCACGTCTCGTTATTGAAACAACTGAAGAGCGTACCTGATGGCTGGCGTGATTATTTGCGAATTGACACCTCAGCCTATTGTTAATTGCTAGAGTTAGTAACAAATATTGCCTTATTTTTTTTAACTGGTCTTTGTAAACCGATCTCAACGAGTTAATTTTTTTGTAACACTCTCGTTATTTGCCTATTTCTTTGTATTTTTTACGAGATCCTCATATGCAACATTTTATTTTATTACAGTCACTATAGACTTGATTTTTCACTTACCACAAACACGAAAAACTTTTATACATTTCAATAAATTCGCCGAGAAAATCGTGGGTGCATTGTCGCAGGTCTGACATTATCAGGTTTCTAGGGAAAGAGGAAGCGAATTGAAGTGGAACTACCCGTGAACTGTGCCAAGATCGGACGTCTAATCTGAACATGAGTCCACACGTTTCATTTTGTCCTATCAGCAAAATGATGCTTCTCCCATAAGCTTTTCAATCTGACCTTGGATTTTATTTCGATTCGTCAAGACGTACGTTTTGCTGTTTACATGCCACACTTTGTTGGATAGGATTTGTCCTGTCCCACAAAACGTTCAATAAAACGTAGCGTGTAAACCCGCCTTCAAATCCACTCTAAAAGCAAAAATGGAAAGAAAAAGCCAAGTAATTCCATTATGGAATTTTCCTCGCGAATATGCCTAGGCAACTCTGAATGCTTGACATGTCATGGCCGGTTGCGTAACAATTTTCATTTTCCTGCTTCCCACTCCCAGAGCATTCCAGAGTGCGTAAAATATGCGCATTCGACTTCCATTATCGCAACGCACTCCCCACATGCTTGATACCGCTGATGCTGAGTGTTCGATATTTATTTGAAATGATTTTATCGTTTACCGTTATGATTCTTTACTGGAAGTCGGTGTCTAAAAATAAAACAATAATATAAGACAGGTTATAGGACATACATTACAATGCAATTTGTATAATATGCGATCGCAATGGTGTCACTTGTCTCATGTAAAAGTTTCTTAATGCAAAATTGCCGTATTTGCCCTCTGCTGCTATAAGCGAATTGAACTCGGTAGATTGGCGTAATTTTGTAGGCGCTGATTTCGACTTTCAGCCGAAGTTTGACTTCAGATTCGGTCAAACATTTTAAAAAATGTTCTTCGATAGTCCGAGGGGGCACTCACCTTACGGAAATCAGTCCCCGGTGAATCTTGCTTGGGAATAAGCTCTACAGAGCATCCTGGACACTTAACGATCTCATGAAGCGTTTCCATGGTATACAGGGCGGCCCAAACATGCGGGGACGGACTGTTGCTCCTAAATAAAAACTTATCAAAGAAAGCTATTTATAGGTTATAATACATGGTTTCCCAGGACACATTTACAGAATACTCAATTATACAGCGTGTCCCAATTTTTACCCCACATAAAAAACGTCTACTTAGAGCAGAACTATTTAATGTCACAAATTTCCAAGTTTTGCTTTTATATTATATATGGCATATTGAGGGAGTCGCGCACGCTGTAGAAGTATCTAATGCCTTCGCTGACGGAGAATACCGAAAACGACCGATTAAAAATTTTGTCTATGTCCTTCGCTTCGATCCGTGTTGCGCGGAACTGTTTTATTTGCAGAAGGATGCAATTCCTGTTTCTAGACTGGTATATTCTACTCTAATGGAACGAAATACTTCTTTTAAATGGAAAGCTCTACTTTTTATTACACACTCGGATAGGCACTTTTGAAAGGAGAAGATTGATATAACTATCTAAAACTGTAATGACTCATCGATGTTCACGTGAACATCACTTAACTATCAGTAGTCGGCTGTTCATAGGCGGGGTATGAATGTTTAACATGGGTGAACTAGATTTGTCACATGCTTAATAAAGAGTGGTTTGAAACATATTGTAAGTCAAAAATTTGGGAATTACCTCTATTCATCGTCGCTTCCACTTACATCTGACAGTAATAAACTGTCACTATCGCTTTCCTCGTTGAAATTGACTATAACTGGCTCTATGATGATGTCGATGTGGTGGTCAAGCTGCCACATTTTTGTTTCTTCCTTCACAACATGACGGATAGCATTCTGCCAAGCTTCGGGCGTTACTAGTTGTATGGAAGTCTCAAGTAAAACCTTAACGTCTGGTAATTTCAAGGTTGTGTTATGGCGCGCAATATAACCCTTCACTTGAGCCCAGATGAGCTCTATTGGGTTCAGTTCACAGTGGTAGGGCGGTAACCGCAGCACAGTGACACCACATTGACGGGCCATCTCATCAGTCACGTAACTAATGTTCGCAGGTTTGTGCTGTTTATTTTTTCATACAATTCCGCTTTCACACATGAATCGTCAAACGGGATTCCTTTTTCGCGCAACCATTGCTGCATGTCACTTTTTCGAGATCCCATAGTCAGTACACGTTCGGCTCGACGACTATGGTAGGAAGCATTATCCATGACGATCACAGAGTTGGGCTCAACTCGCTGAAGCACCCCTTGAAACCAGCTCTCGAAGCAGCTGGCATTCATTTCTTCATGGTAATCACCTCCTTTCTTAGAGACGAAAATCAAGTCACACTGTTCTTAAAAGCCACTATCGCTACCAATATGAGTTACGATCAATCTTTGACCTTTCCCTGACGGTCCACGAAGACCTGTTGACAAACCTTCAATGCTTGCTTGTCGGTTACTCTCTACGTTTTTGTCTATCCAGGTTTTTTAACTGTGTGACCTGCATTTACCCATGTCTCGTCCAAATAATAGATTTTTCTGCTTTGTCGCCTATATTCAATCATTTCGCGTAAGTATTTTCGACCCCAGGCGACTATTTCAGGTCTCTCTATCAATACTGACTTCCGATTACGCGTTTCGTAACGAAAATTAATTTCGTGCAGGGATTTCCTGATTACCTCGACGCTCATTTGGGGTATAATTTCATTTTCCTTGATCGCTGCATGTACAGCCTTGAGGGTTGGTATCTCATTCCTAAAGAAGAATGAATGTATGGTTCGCCTTAACGCCATTTTGCTATCGTCATCCAATTTAACGACCTTTCGTCCCTTCAAATTAAACTTTGGATCAGTAGTAGCTCCAGTTTTCTTCTTTTCATGCACCACCCTGCAAATGGTCCACTCTGGAACGCCTGTCATACTTTCACAACGCGCGAGTGCATCTCCCTTCTGTTCAGATAATTGAACACGTTGAGCACGATTTCTTTCGCGTCCCTCTTCAGTGCTTTACGAAGCCGTCTACTTGTTCCCTGGCTTTCAGTACCTCCACTCGTACCATTTGTACTCTCCATGGTTAAGTATAACCAAAACAGTAACCACTGAAACCACAACAATAACAATCACACAACAATTCTTATAAAAACACACAATATGCGATCGCTCAACGAAACACGTTCTAATGCGTTGCCGACGCCTATGAGTCTGCCGGTCGAGGCGCGTCTTTGATTCCATTGGTTCTACCGGCGGAGAACAATCAGCCACTATTCCCATCTCTGTCTGTGCTGTTGACCACCGCAAAGCCACAGAAACGTCGTATGTCGTACGGTATACGGCTGTACTGGAAGGAAGCCGGGATCGAGCTCTGATCACGTGTTGATCACGCGTATGAGTCATTACAGTTTTAAATAGTTGTAGTATAGTTATGAGTGTTATTAGTTATTGAGCTATTGGGTCCCTATTTTATCTAAGAAAAAAACAAGAAAGCTTAACAACATGCTTATCTGCTGTATCGACAGTTTGCTTTAGTGTAGACATGTAGGTTACTTTATTGACGAAAAGAAAATATAGGTAGTTACAGTTTCCCAGATTTGAGCACGACCATAACCGTCAAAGTCATGTCAAGATCAAGTCACTTCATTTTGATAAGATGCATTATTTTTGATTACGGATATAAAAAATGGGGACATTTTCCACATTGATCTACAATAGTCGACGAATGTTGATCATGACCAGGACGAGAGACTTTTTTGATGACGTTTGAAATGATAGTGAGTCGATCAAGATCACGAGATTCATAATGATTAACCTTGACCTCAACCTTCAAGATCATATCAAGGTAAAGTCACTTGTAACTCTATTTGACCATGACCATAAAGGTAAAAGGAAATTTTTCAGACCAAAATTGCCGTCTTCCGTTTCCTGCTATTTCAAGTGAACGAAATGCGTTCTACTGGGGGTAATCTTGAATGCTGATTTTGCAGACGCCCATCAAGAAATGCTGAAGTGTCGGACAGTCTTGTTTTTAGTGGAAAAATGACTCTTTTAACCATTTAGCTCATCTCAAAAAAGAAATCACAGCCCTAAACCTAATGGTTTAGTCGTAATTGGGATTGAAAGTTCATTACCCCGTTTTTTCGATATTTAACAAGATCGCAAATATCTCATTAACTACAAAATTTCGCACCACACATACACCTTAGGAAAAACCATTGTTATATATGGGAAATCATTTCTTGGCAACAGCGCATCGGCTCGTCTACTTTCATCGCTATTCGTACATATTTCCTACCGTTAACCGCAGACCTGTATCACGAATGAGAATAATAGGCAGATACGCTGTGTTGCCAATTTGAGTAGAGCTTCCCGAATTGTGGGGAATTTAGAGTTAAGTGTTGATTCATTCAAGCTTTTAATCAGCATGGCCTAGACGTTAGAACTTCATAAAGATAACATTGAAGCTGAATGCTGCTGGAGTATAGTGTTTCGAATATTCAAAGCGAAGCGGGACACTATACTCGTTCAATGGGTTATCAAGCCACAGTCTTTTCAACAAAGAAATTATTTTACGAAAATGCGTTATATTTTTACGATTTTGTCGTCACCAAATCTCTGTTTCTCAAAATGTACGTCTATTGTAGAATTTTCAGCAAACTAAGCAAGAAACGTGATCTAGTATTTACTCAACATTACGAATTTCTCGAAATACATTGAAAAATGTCACCTAGATACCTAACTGCCGCAAGCTTTTTAAATATAACACCTTAAACCAGGGTTACCAGGTGCTCAGTCACGTTGATTGTCATGTTGTACTGCGCAAGTCAGCAAACAATCTGGCGTAATAAACGTTAGGAATTATCAGGTATTGCCAGATTCCCGAATACCGGGCACCATAGTAACCGTTATAGTTGTCCTTCAAAGTTGTCAAATCGCCCCTATGGCGCAAATTCGCCACACCAGGCAACTGTGCTATAAACAAACCCTGTGTATCACTACTATTTGATAGTCATATGGTAGTTGTAGCCCTATCTAGCGGTCCATGATTTCTCTCAATACTGTTGTATCTCTACTGGCAACAAGAATAGGGATTACAAAGTCATTTATACAACAATATACAAACATGAAAAATATGATTTGAACTTTTTTCATTTTTGGAATACTCTTTGGAATCCGCAGCTATTTTTCCCGAAATTTGGGTAGACTTAAATTTCTTAGAAATATGACATATTGGTATCGGCAACTCTGCGAATGGGAGAAACAAATCGCATTTGTTGAGCGCATCCGTCTAAGCGGTAGGCGCCAGCGCCCGTTCTGCCATCTCTCTCTTTTATCACTCTTCTACTTTACCCCGTTGTCCGTCACACTCCGACGCTGCCAGATAAGATCCTACAATCGAGTGTCTTTCACGCACCTACATACTTTTGTATATTTCCATCTCCTTCCTCATCATAATGTATAATAATGGTTTTTCCCATACTGTATAGGGGTTCGATATGTTTTGAGGCCCCTGACTTCCATTGATCCACTACTAACTTTTCACCCTGTATATAGTGCTTTCCAAAAACGATCACCCATTATATTTTTTGAACTGAACAAGCTGAAAATCGAGGTGAGGAAATTAATACACGGATGTTATATTCTAGCTTGAAAGTGACAGATGAATATTTCGAGATTTTAAGAA